TCCTTGGATATTTACAAATATCATGCATATGACACCTACACAAATGAAGTTTAAGAAAGCTAGAAAGAGAATTTAAAGTTCATTTATAAACAGATGTTTTTAGGGGTTTTGGTTTTGCATGTAGCTCAGCGCTTCTCTGCCTGTAACTTCCCAGATGAGTCCATTCCTTGGGGAGATGTTCTGGTGCACACCACATCTGAGTCTGGTTCAGTGTGTGCTGGGGAGCTGGCCTCTGGGAATGGCTTGCCCTTGTGCGATGCAGCATTCTTACCTGCTTCTGCATGTGTCTCAAGTGATTCAGCACATTGCTTCCTTTGCCCTTCTTCACAAGCAGCGGCTTTCTTGGGAAGGTCATTTTGAAATTTGTGGTCTTTGCCATGAGAACCTGGCATTGGCCACCCCTGCAGCAAGCTTGAGATGTTCTGTGAGGTTTCAGGTGCTGTTTTTGAAATGAAGCCAGCAGTCAGCTCTCTGTGGCATTTCCTGTTTATCCTTTTATACCCACCCCACCAAGGAAGGCATTAGTATCAGATCTGTTTGTTTGGTTTTTACGCTGCCCCTTTTGACACGCTACTAGAGATGGCACATAGGGGTTTCCACCAATGAATGTGCGTTCATTTTTGGTGTCTATCTAAATTGCCCGGGCTGCCTCAAAATTGGGATGCTCTTGCCTCATTCTGTGTAGCTGGGGTTCTATAGGCATGCATTACTGTGTGCCTGATTCATAAGCTTTTAATGTTTGTTGTGGACCACCTAAAGGTTCAGAGAGCCATACCCTTACCTGCATACAGAAGTTGTCCCCTGGTTTAGACTCAGGCTTTGTAGGAACAGTGTTGGGGGCAGTGCCTTTTGTAGAGCTCTTAATCCCCCTGTGGCAGAAGTAACATGATGTCATCTTTAAGCAGGAGCAGAAGGGCATGCAAGAATCTGCTGTCCTCTCAGGTTCCTACTGGTAGTGTATGGGTCCAGTGGCCATGTCTCTGATACCATCTTGGATCAAATCAGCACCCCAAATGTAGAAGGTTTGAGATGGTCACCTCCTAAATGAGAACAAGAGAACTTCTATCACATAGGAAGGGTGTTTTGTTTTGTTTTTTTTGGTGTTGGGGGGACCAGGAATTGAATTCAGGAGCACTCAACCATTGAGCTACCTCCGCACCCTATTTTGTGTATTATTTAGAGACAGAGTCTCACTGAATTGCTTAGTGCCTCGCCATTGCTGAGGCTGGCTCAGAGTTCCTGATCTTTCTGTCTCAGCCTCCTGAGCTGCTGGGATCACAGGTGTGTGCCACTACATCTGACCCCCAGCCTGTCTTTTATTTTAGTTTTGGGAGTCTGGCTCTTAAACTAGGATCCTCTTGCCAAGCTGCTTTGATTATAGGTGTGGACCACTGTGTCCAGCTCACATAACAAATTTTCACAGTAGCTGTCACATTTCTTGTCCAGGTTGTCAATCTGTTCTGTGGGGACACCCAGGTGGAGTGCAGCTGGCATGCTGGCACTGACAGCTGGTGGCACAAGTAGAATGCACAGATCTTATCTGGATTATATGAAAGTTTTATCCTCTGGCAAAAGCATGACATGTTACTAGATTTAGTTCAGGGTTATAGTTTAAGTTTTCTTTCAAGTATTAGAGCAAGTGGGACATTCAGATCTCTTTACATGGAAGCTCATACCTGAACTTCCTATGGGGTGACGACTGCTGTGGAAGGTGGGAACTACATCATCAATCAGTGGGTTTAACCTCTTGTTAACTGTAGAAGCTCCTCCAACTCCTTTGCCTGGTGCAGGGTTTGGTAGCACCACTATCCACTCCCAACCCGTGCCTGGCCTGGTCCATGCCATGGTGGATGTGTTCACATGCCCTGTTGCATATTCTGCCTCCCCTTCTTCTGGCCTCTTTAGCTCTTAGAACCAGCAAACAGTGCCCACTTTTCTGCATGCAGGACTTTAAACTCTGTATTCCTGAGCTTACCTTTAGGTGGAGCTGATTGGGCATTCCTTGTTCAGAATAGTTCTGGGTGTTTTTTTTTTTTTTTTTTTCTTTTTGTACCAGAGATTGAACCTGGGATGATTAAGTACCAAGCCATGTCCCCAGCCCTTTTTATTTTTTAAGACGGGGCTTTGCTAAATTGCTGATGTTGCTTTCGAACTGGTGGCTTATGCCTCAGTCTGCTGTGATCAGCTGGGATTACAGGTGTGTGCCACCACACCCAGCCAGAATATTCTTAAGGTCGTGTGTGTGTGTGTGTGTGTGTACACCCAGGATTAAACCCAGGGGCCCTTAATCACTGAGTCATATCCCTAGCTTTTTTTATATTTATAGTCTCCCTTGAGTTGCTTAGCACCTTGCTGAGGCTGGCTTTGAACCCGTGACTCTCCTGCCTCAGCCTCCCTAGCAGCTGGGATTACAGGCATGTCCGGCTTAGTGTATCCCTCTGTCACTTGCCTGCCTGTTCCCATCTGTCCTTGAGCTTCCTCAGTGTCTGCTTCTCTCCATCTCTAGACCTCCCTAGGGTATTGCTTCTCCCCTTTCCAGTTGCTGCAGCTTTTCTTGGGCCTAGTTGACTTATAAACCTGCGTCGTTCCCGAGTCATTGGCTGGCTGTGTGCAGTGGTGGGCATGCTGTCACATTTTTGACTCTTGGCATACGCGCTTCCTGGTTTGCCCTCTCTTGCCCTCTGGCTTGGATGCATGCCACACTAATTATGTTGTTCTGTGTTCTGGATGGATTCTGTCTACATGCATTCATGTTTATCAGGAATACTTGTTTTTATTCCTTGCACGTTTTCCATTTTTCTGGAAGAAAAACACAGTACTTTATCACTGAGAACCCAGCTAAATTACGAAGTAGTATGTATAAATTGTGTTTTCAGTGAAGCTGTCCTTGATTACCACAGCAAAGAAAAACTTTCGGAGCTCATCTTCTAAAGGTTGTGTTGTGGAGCTGGGGTTGTAGCTGAGTGGAACACTGGGTTAGCACATGTGAGACACTGGGTTTCGATCCTCATCACAAGATAAAAAAATAACAAAATAAGGATATTGTCAATCTGCAAATAAAAAATGCATCGCTGAATTTAGGGTAAATCATTCATTCTTAATTTGTCAATACACGTTTTATTTTTATTTTTTCCACTGTAAACACATTTAATTGTCCTTTTCAACAGAAGTATCTTAGTAAGGCTTACTAAGCAGCATTTCCTTAATCTTCATGTTTTTCTTTTCTCTAAGTAGACTTACTATGCATGTGTTTAAATGATAAGACAATTTGTCTATACTGTGTAGAAAATCACCTTCTTACTTCATAAAGCTGACAGATTAGAATACTGCAATTTTAAATTAATGATCTGTATACTTTTTTCTAACCTGAACTTATGTAGAGATTATTAAAAGTTTTAAAAACATAACTGATTATAAGCATTTTATTACTGTTTTGATTTTTTTTAAATTAAAATGCCTATTTCTATTCTAATCCTATTTCTAAAGCTGAGCAAGCTGGTTGAATCTTTATTTCCTTAACAGTATTTGTAAGATACAGCTTCATAATGCCCTGTAAACAATGCATAAATGTAGTTTGATACATGTTTTTGCATTTGAAAATATTGTGTATTGCAAGTGGTTTTACACAAAATACTGAGTAGTAAAAATTTTACAATTACAATAATGTAATTCAAAGTTTTAACCAAAGAAAAAGTAAATGGCACAAGTTGAGCAGTCAGTCTTCTAGGATGTTTGTAATAATATAACCTGATGACTTTGTAATTTTCTGCATAAATAATTTTCATTTTTTTCCCTTCATTAAGACAAATTTTCTGAACCTCCCTCTCTTTCAGTTTCTATTTCTTGTTTAAAACCAGGTATTAACTGTCTTGCTTTCCATACCTTTGCTTTATCAAGTTTTACAAAAAATATTTTATTTCTTGCTCTCCTGAAAATTCTTGGTTTTGATTAGAAGTCTAAAAAAAAAAAAAAAAAAACCTGTAATTCAAGCAGCTTGGGAGTCTGAGACGGCAGGATTGTAAGTTCAAAGCCAGCCTCATCAATAGCAAGGTGCTAAGCAAATCAAGGAGACCATATTTCAATAAAGAGTAGGTTTCTATAGGTCTCTAACACCACATCTCCATATAATGTCTGCTGAGAAGGGTCCAGGCATTTCCATTGTCTTCAGAAAAATCAATGACCACATCCCTTAATGTCAGTGGTTTCATTTCCTGGCTTTTGGTATGCTAACTTTTTTCCCTGATAGTTTTTTTCAGCTCCTGTGTAGTGCAGAAACCAGGAACTCTTGACCTAGGTTTGGAAGCATAGAAATAAATTCAAAGAATCTACACGTCTTATTTTTGATTTTTGGAGCATTTTGGTATTTGAGCTATCAATGAGATACCCACTGATGTCTATAATTTTCTACTAAAATTGCTTCAATCACAGTGTAATGTTTGACAGTTAACACTGGTTTAGATTGTACTTAAACTAATAACTTAAAAAAATTGTTTTTGAAACATCATTTCACAGAAACGTGAAAGGTGTTCTTGGGCTTCTTGGCTGGATTCGTGGGCTACCTAAACATTGCCTACTTGGTGCCCCATTCTGAGTTTATAATGCTCCAGTAGTTCATGTTGTGTCTTAATTCCCTGAAGAAGGCAGCTTGGGTTCACTGGGTACAGCTACCTGTGCGTGAAATCAGGTCTCGTTGCCAGGAGCAGTGTCCCATTAGGACACTAAGCTAAAGGCAGCAGGCAGCTCTGGTGAAATGCGGGGCAGTCCTGAGTTTGTGTGTGTGCACGCGTGCATTTTTGGTCTGTGTCGAATGTTTACCTTGTTATGTGCCTTTACTTGAATTAAGGTAGTGAGAAAGTATCTCATGATAAGGCCTGGTTATACTACTCATTTTATTTCTTCTCCAAATCTATTGGTAAGTTAAGGCTTTAATCTCTTTTCCTCCTCCCATGAAAAAAAATATCTAAAAGATTTATACAATACACCTTTCTGTTTGTTTCTAGAAGATACATTTGAAGACTTTTTTGGGAACCGAAGAGGTCCCCGAGGAAGCAGAAACCGAGGTGCAGGCTCATTTTTCTCCGCTTTCAGTGGATTTCCAACATTTGGAGGTGGATTTTCTGCATTTGATACAGGTATTAAATCCCTAGATTTAATTTGTTGTTAGAGGAGAAATTAGTGCTTAGAACACTTAGAGCAGTTTGAATTATGTTTATTCTTTTTAGGAGAAGAGCTTTTTGCATTTGTCAGGATTTTGCGTGTACAAATCAGTGCTTAATGACCTAATTATTCAAGAATGTGAGTCATTCATAAGGGATACCATATAATGAAATTCCTGGCTAAAAGGGTAATGCATGTTTGAGTAGGCATGAAGCAGCTGCAGTGGACAGTCTTGCTAAACTCTGCATGTGTTCTTGCCTCCCTTGCAGTTAAGCAAAAGGGCGCAGTCCCATCTAAGCAGTGTGTAGTTGGATGGGATTGGCGGGTTGGCCCATGGCCTGGGGTGTGTGACCTTAGCCAGACTGTTCCCTTGAAGTGTCCAGCCCAAGCACATGGTCAACCCCAGTGGTTGGTGATGTGCCTACAGAGGTGGGTGTTCCTGGGTCTGACTTGAGTTAAACTTTGGTAGTTTGAATTGCCATTTTTTGCACAGTTGAGTTCATTCCCCCTCACCATGATACCTATGTTACCCAGCACACAGCTGCCTTGGTTGGGCTTCTGTGCATGGTGTGCCCGGCTCTCCCCAGCAGAGCTCTCAGTGGGTGTCTGTAGTTTGCCAGGCTGGGCCTGGTGAGCATACAAAAACAAGGTTGTTGAAAACATGAGGGAAACGGCACTTCATCTAAGCCAGTGTCTGGGGCTTGTGTTAAGCAATCCTGCCTTTAGGTATTATTGTGGGCCGGCTTACTCCCTCTTTTTTTGCCGTTGGTGCCCCATGTGCCATGGGGTGCCACGTAGATACAGTGGGAGGCCCACTGCCATGCTAGAGTGTCAGTGAGGTCTCAGCCACTTGGGAGTGGGGAGAGATGCCTAGAGGGAATCAGCCAGACCACCCCCTGGTTGTGGATACTGCCAGTCCTCTCAGTGCCCCTTGTGCTACAGTGGTTTTGGCAAGAGCTGCTCTTGTGTGGCTTTCGACATCAGATGGTCTTCTGCTAAATTTGAACTTAGTCCTATTTTTGAATTCATACTAGTCATTATTAGCCCCTAGTCATCTTTATTCTCTGTTTTCCTATAGGATTTACTTCATTTGGGTCACTAGGTCATGGTGGCCTTACTTCATTCTCTTCTACATCATTTGGTGGCAGCGGGATGAGTAACTTCAAATCAATATCAACTTCTACCAAAATAGTAAATGGGAGAAAAATCACTACAAAAAGGTAGAGTGGAATTATGCATTTTATATTTATTATGTCAGCTTAATGTTTCATTGGTGTTGTGTACTGCTTATCAGTCAGCTGAAGTATAAGCTGCATGAAAAATTTCTTAATTAGCTGGAATCTTTCTTTCCAATGTTTTCTTCCCCATTTAAAAAAAATTTTGTTATATGACAGCGATTTTTTTCAGTGTTTTTTGTTAAATTATTAGAAGTGATCTTTATTTAATATGTAATAATGTGTAATAAGTTTTCCCAACATTGTTAGAATGATAAAATGAAAAACCATTAGTTGTGGGCTGGGGCTGGGGCTCAGTGGTAGAGCACTTGCTAGCATGTGTGAGGCACTGGGTTTGATTCTAACCACAGCATATAAATAAATGAATAAAATAAAGGTCCATCCATCTTAAAAAAAATAAAAACCTCTACGTTTAATTTATCAAAAAAACCTTTTTTTTTCTTCATTTATTGCCTCAATGTATTGTGAGTCCACCCCAGGGGCAGATTTTTTCCCCCCCCTTAAATGTGGTGTTGGATTTTAGAACCCAGGGCCTGTGTATGCAAGGCAAGCACTCAACCAACTGAGCTATATCCCCAGCCCTTAATTTATTTTTTTTAGTCCTGGGAATTGAACCACAGGGGTGCTCTACCACTGAACTCTCTTGACTCTTTTAAAAATTTATTTGTTTGTTTGTTCTAATCAGTTACTCATGACGCCAGCATGCTCTTCGATTCAATGTACACAAATGGAGCAGAATTCTTTTTACTTCTGGTTGTACTCAAAGTAGGGACACATCATTCTTGCAGTCATACATGTACTGATGTAATCATGACCGTCCCATTCCACCATCTTTCCTACCTCCATGCCCCCTCCTCCTGGACCCTTTTTATTTATTTTGAGTCAGGTTCATGGGCTGATCTGAAACTTGTGATCCTCCTGCCTCAACCTCCCACTTTGCTGAGATGACAGGTGTGCATCCCTGCCACCTCTCCCGGCTGCCCTGTTGTGAAGAATGGAAGCTAGGGTCTCAACCTCATACATTCTAGGAAGTGCTTTACCAGGGCTGCAGCCACCCCTCCAGTGCTGGGGTTTAAACCTGAGGCCTTTGGCATGCAAGGCAAGCCGTTCTGCCATGGAGCCACATCCCCAGTTCTAGCTTTAGCAGGGAGGTACACCTTACACAACAGTGTGAACACCCCAGTCATCACCCTTAAAGGATCTGCTTTACTTGCTTATATTGGTACTTGGAATTGAAACTCAAGATTGCTTAACCACTGAGCAATATCCTAAATTGCTGGGACTGGCTTTGAACTTGAGATTCTCCTGCCTTGTGTCTCCCAGTCACTTGGATTACAGGTGTGCATCAGTGCTCCTGAGTTCCTTAGTATTTTTGATGAACAGTATCTGCATATATTTATCAGTCAGCCTTGCAGTATTTGGGATGATTTATTATTCTCAGGATAAATAGTTTTTTGTATTGGGGATTGAACCAGTGACACCTTACTACTGAGCCACATCCCGAGTCCTTTTTATTTTTTGAGACATTGTCTTGCTAAGTTGCTAAGGCTGGCCTCAAATTTGGGATCCTGCTGCCCCACCTCCAGAATTACTGGGATTATAGGCATGTACCACTGTGCCCATCAGAATAAATCTGTTTTAAGAAAGATAGACCGATAGGTTGTCTTTGTTTTCCAGTTTGCACACCACTTTTGTAGTAATGCCCTTGTGAATTTATATGTATTATATTCACTCTCATATAAATATTTTGTTCATTTACAAAAGAGGTTTAAATGAATTCTATCCTACAGAATCGTCGAGAATGGTCAAGAAAGAGTAGAAGTTGAAGAAGACGGCCAGTTAAAGTCCTTAACGATAAATGGTAAGGAGCAGCTGCTACGCTTGGATAACAAGTAATTCAACGCACGCATTTAACAGAAATGTTAAACTATAACAAGCACCATTTGAGGATTAACAGGAACATTTTTTTGAAGATTTCAGACGAACTCGACTTTCAGTATAATTGTACCTAATCTAAAGTATTTATAAACAGCTCATCGGAGCCCCTATTTGTCATAGACTTTTGAGTTTATTGTTGGGACCACACAATAGGACCATTTTTTTTTGTCTTTAAAATTGTTGTAATCTCTGTATGCACTTTGCTTTTTTATTAAACGTAATCCAAGGTGAGCCTTGACTTTGAGTAGTGCTAGGACAAGATTGTATTCTAACACCAGCATGGATCTGCTTCCCATTGTGTTTGACATGTGAGCCAAGTAGTGTCAGCCTGCTGTGAGCTAACAATGCCAGGATGAGGCTCCTGTAGAAGTAATTTGGTTTTGTTTTTTTTCCAGTATTTAGTAATGAAAGATATTAATGCATTAATGGTAATACATTTCTGGTTTAATATAAATTTAAGGATGTTTTCTAGTTGTGCATGAATGCTGGCAACTTAGTAAAGTTTTGACAATTGTTTAAATATGTAATGTTAAGCTTAGGTTTAAAAATCTAGTAAACTGGGTCTTTGTCATTTGCTTAAAAAAAAAAAAAGAAAATAAATGTGAATGTGTTTGGTGCATTTTTTCCTGAGTGGGGTCTGCAGCCTCCTTGTGTCTGTGTATGATTTTGTGCCTGGGCTTCTAGTGTCACTCCATTAGTGTTCCTTTCATCATTAAGGTGGATACTGACTGAAAGGCACATGTAGACATTTTCTATTTGGAGAGTATGTAGAGATTATAAAGAATTATCAGCAATCTTAAGAGATTATTAGCAATGTATTGAACATGTCAGTATAACATTTATATGGGGGAGGCGGGTAAAGCTTGTTAAAAAAAAAAATTAGTGCCGGGGGAATTGAAGCCAGGGACCTTAACCATTGAGCCACATCCCCAGACCTTTTTATTTTTGAGACAAGGCCTCCCTCCCTTGTTGAGGCGTTCCTTGAATTTGAGATCTTCTTCCTCATCTTCCCCAGTGGCTGGGATTATAGTTGTACACCACCAATTTCCACTCTTTAAAGCATATTGTTCTGTAGGATGTATATGATATGATGTAAGATCACTTAAGCACAGTATACATGGTAAAGTAATGGAATCACAAGAAGTGAGCAAAAATAAAGTTGCTGCTTTTCTCAGTCTGTAAAACCTTTTGCAATTACCATTGGTAAGCAGAATCCTAGCTCAAAATCACAAATATTAAAAAAAAAAGGCCTTCAATTGCTTTTAAACAGTGCCCTGGCTGTTGTGTCCTGTGGTAAGGCCCCGCCCCCCCACCCCCCGCCATTGTTTTGAGAATGAGCAGTATATGGTCCTTCCCTGACTTTTAGCCCAGGTGACCAAGCTGTGGGATTTTCTATTAAATATCACAGTGTCTTTAATGAACCTTTTGTTTCGCTACTGCAAGTAAGTAAACAGTATTTTAACAGATGCCATAGGAACCAAGTGCAGCAGTAGGTAACAGGTAGTTAAAGAGTGCCATACGAAAGACTGCAGTGAGTGATGGGCCTGGGTGTGTTAGGAGATCTTGGCACATGACCTCTGGTTGGAGGTAGGTATGCATCCTGGGACCATGCTGGTACAGCTAGAAGTTTGCATCAGAAAGCCTGCTGTCAGCACAGATGATTTTGTTACAGAATGAGAACTTTCAAGTTGGGTTTATTACGTTATTAGTAAAATTGACAACTTACTTGTTTTTCAAATTTGGTTCCCTGGGTTTTTGAAGAAGATATTAAGTTCATTGCATGAGAAATGAGTCCAGAGTATAATATGAAAGCACCTTTGAAAAGTTACAAAACTGTTTTGTAGCAGTGAAAATACCATTTCCAAGATTGACATGGCAGAACAGCATTTCATGTAGATAATAAGTCTCAATAAATTTGATATTTCTTTTGTTTTCTGTATTTGAAAAGATGTCTCTGTAGTGTGGATTGCCTTTTAAATTGAAATCTGAAAGCAGCTTGATACAGCTTGATGCGTAGGTGAACTTGCTTCTGCTCACTTCCACCCAAAGAGTGGATCCCATGCCCACTGTCAGGAGCTGCTTCGTTGGTTTGTGCCCAGTGTCCTTGTGGCGGAGGACCTCTTGTGAGGGACCAGTTTGCTGCATTTATCTTACCTCTGTCAAGCTTTCTTTTCTCTGTAGTTAGGTTTCCACAGTTGACTTGATTCAGATTACTGGTGGGTTTTATCCTGTACTTCTCAACAAAATGTAAGCTCAGTGTCCATGTGTTCAGGTTTGGTTTTGGAGTTCTAGTGACTGTTACAATATGAAAGACAATGGCTCCGAGCATTATTTATCTAATTCCTACTGGGCGTTCTTCTTCTGGCAGATTTTTAGAAGATCCCAGAGGTTTAGTCTAACCATTTGATTAAGCTTCTCTTACAGCTTGAGGACATTTCTTCTGAAGCACAGATTCCTTCTAGGATGGTAAGATCTGAAGAGCACTGGGATGATCATCTTTGGAGCAGTTTGAATTTATTAGTTACCTACTAAATTGCTTATTCCTGTAGAACCCCCCCCCCCCCCCCCACACACACACACACACACTATGGGTGGAACCCAGGGCCTCCTGCATGCTAAGCACTGGGCTACCTTTCTAGTCCTTTTTATTTCATTTTTAGACAGGGTCTCCCCGAGTTGCCAAGAACTCACTATCTATCCTCCTGCCTGTCTCCTGAGTTGCTGAGCTTGCAGGCATGTGTCCCTTTGCTCAGCCTAGCTTGGGTTCTGTGTTGTTTGCCTGCTGGGTGGTGGTGTCCTTTCTAAGGAATACTAATGCACTGTGCAATGACAGATGTTCTCACTGCACCCAGCAGTCGTTGGTACCTGGTTTCTCTCTCTCTTCTGTTGTGATCTCAGCCATTTGCATGCTCCCTGACAACATGGAGGTACGTGTTTCCTCTCTGGTGTAGGTTTTCAAGTGCAGTTATATGGAGTCACTTTGAACACTTGGTGTCCTATGGTCTAGCGGTAGCTAGCTGAATTATGAGACCAGTTTGGGGTGGGGTGGTGAAGTACAGACGAGATCTTGTGACCTTTTAGGGCCGTGCTTGTGCAGTTGGTAGCTGAACATGGCAGGAACTAGCTCATGTGTGTTGAGGTTATCCCTGTGTCACCTCTCCTGAGCCCTTGGGAGTCATCCCATGGTGCCACTTTTATTTGGCTTCCTTGCCCCCCCCCCCCCCAATTGAACCCAGGGTCACTTGGCCACTGAGACACATCCCCAGCCCTATTTTGTATTTTATTTAGAGACAGGGTTTCCCTGAGCTGCTTAGTGCTTCGCTGTTGCTGAGGCTGGCTTTGAACTCATGATCCTCCTGTCTCAGCCTTCTGAGCCCCTGGGATCACAGGGTCACGCCACAAAGCCCAGTTTGTTTTGACCCTCAAGAGCTGCTTCGCTTTGAAAGCAAACTTAATTTTGAGTAGGGTCTGATGGGCAATTTTACCATCCCCCCAGTGTTGGGGATTGTGAGTCCTTTATTTTTAATTACACACACACATATATTTGTGTGTGTGAGTGATATATAAATAAAAGAGAGAGGTAGAGAGTTTTTTTTTTTAATATTTATTTTTTTAGTTGTCGTTGGACAGATACTTGCCGAGTTACTTAGGGCCTTTATGAATTGCTGAGGCTGGCTTTGAACTCTCTATCCTCCTGCCTCAGCCTCTTAAGCCAGCGGGATTACAAGCAGCTAAGATTCTAAGCATGCGCCACCACACCTGCTAGTGTTGGGCTTCGAGCCCAGGGCTTCTCTCTCACTGACCTACATACCTGGCATTTTGTTTTGAGACAAGATGTTGATAAATGACTGAATCCTTAGGATTATAGGCGTGCACCAAATACCCCAGCTGACTCAGGTACATTTGGAATGTACTATTTTTCGCTTTTCTAGGGACCCAGACTTTGGTGCTGGGTTCTGACCCACAGTTGATTTATTAGAGGTAAAATTTGGGACATAACCCCAGTGCCCTCTCCCTCTTTTTATGGTGCTGGTCCCGGGGATTGAATCTGGGCCTCAGGTGTATTGCTAAGCCACTCCCCAGCCTCTGCAGCATAATGGAGCCGCTGATTCAAGGGCTGCCTCTTATTAGAAAAAGAAGCATAATTGTTGACCACAAGGTATGTCACTGCCTGTTTGCCTTCCTGTTTTTGTGGAGGAAAGTTCATCAGACCATCCAGGAGTTGACTGTGACCTGATGATTTGGGCGTGTCTTGCATTGCTCTACCTCCAGTGAGGTCCCTGGAAGCTGAGTACTTTCTTTGGTGTTCTCATTCTGCATCAGAGCCTGCATCCTCTGTTTAGCTGGTTTAGCCTCCTGTTCAGGGCATTGTTCCTCTGTGGAGCAAGCCCTTCTCTCAGTGACTGTGTTCCATGTCGCCAAGTGGTCCGAAGCTTGCTGCTCAAGCGGCCTTCTGCTTCACCTTTCTCTTGTGCCCTGCCCTGTGGCTGTCTTGGTCATGTGTTTAGATAGTCTCTGGCCTGATGACACGGCTCTTCAGAGCACTTTCCCACATTTTCATTTTGTACCTTGACGTTTGTGTTAGAATTCCCAGCTTTCTCCCAGACTTCGTGCCATCTTTATCCCGTTAATTTGTTAGATATAGCATCTCTTTTCTTGTGTACTTTTGTTCTTGAGGATTATTTCTGTGCCAGATCCCCTTACATCAGGTACAGTGATTACCTGAAAGGACAGCTCATGGAAAACTCTTCTAGTCCGTTCTTTCAGATACAATGCAAAGTCAGCTCCAGGTACCCTACAATCCTGAGTTGCATTGAATTGGTAGATTCACTTCACTTCCAGGAACAATATGGCTGACTTGGCCAGCCTTCCTTACTATTTTGGGTAGTGGTGGTGTTAGGATCCAAGCTCAGGCTTTTGCCA